CACTGTATAAAAAAAAAATGATCATAACTTGGAGAGCCTGGTGAAAATGCCACCTAAACTAAAGGTAAATGTTACAGACAATTATAATATATTATTTTATGTCCATCAAAACCTTGATGGGATGTTTGTGGCTAAATATTGTTTGATTTTAATGAATGATATCCAGCATAGGACTAAAACATACTTTTATCTAACTTGGTGAATGATTGTCGGTGCAGCACTTGTTTTCTTGTTTTGCACTTCTGCAAGCCAGGCCAATGCTAGAGTTAGCAAATAAGACAGACACTATACTTGTCTGTTCCTTAGCAATAGTAATCAGTGAAGAAGACAATCCATGATTATATAACAGAATAAAACAGATATATCATTATAATCACTCCATATAAACATGTACAATATGACAACAGTGGCTATCCCACTAAATATACATGTACTATATTATCATTTATAAACAAGTTTATACCACCTACCGGTAGCATGATACATTCAGTAGTATCATTGTCAGTATGAGAAAAAGTTGAGAACGACTTGAGAACAGATTGAAAAGAAATTGAGAACGGATTTCCCATATCACAAGCACTTGTGACCGTATTTTCTTAAAACATAAACGTCTGCTCACGCCAGATGACGTCCAAAACCGGAAATAGTGTCCACACAAAAGTGATTCGCGTACGAATATAGTCCGTCATAAACATATCAATACAAAGTTACGAAAAAATATTGTGAGAATAACAACACTATTTCAGGTGTAAATGTGCATATGGAAACGCCAATGGCGATAGGATTGTTTTTGAGAATGTGTTGTCTACGTAGTTTAAAGATTCATTGTATTCCTCCTATAAACTTCTATTTGTTTACGTTTGTCACAGGCGATCGTTGACCATTGAGCTTAGAAATCATTTGGAAAAAATAATGTTTAGCTGAGGTTTTTTGAATGGAGAAATATATAAGGTAGTAGTATATAGAATATAAATAGTTTATCATACAGTATTTTCAGTCTTTGTCGATCGAACAATTTTATCATCGCTCGCATGTAGATTAAAAATCTCGAGACCACCTGCGGTGGCCTCTCGATTTTATCCACGTGCTCGCGACAAACCCTGAAAAACAGTGTGATAATCTATAATTAAAAAACTAATTGATAATAATGGTATGGTAAATAACTTCCCATTTCGTAATGTTAAGAAATCAAATTTCCTGGCTGGTCGACCAGGATTGTGCCATCGTCACTTTCAATGGCAGTGCGTGTTTATTTGTACGGTACATATTCGTTATTATATTTCATCTTTACAAGACTCTCATAAAGTAAAGACAAACCATACATACATTCCTATGCCAGTAATAGTTAAAGTCAAAAGCCTTCATATTGCTTTCCTATCTTTCTGTCAGCGATGTACACCACAGATAAATATCATACATCCAAATCTTTATAAATAAAGATCGTGTCTCATTTGAGTAATGACGCTGTCTGAAAAAAGATCGCGTCTCATTTGAGTAACGACGCTGTGTGAAATGAAGGTCGCGTCTCATTTGAGTAACGACGCTGGGTGTAAGTTGTGAACGTAACAATTCACTGCTATCTCGGTGAACATGATAGGTATATCATAGTTTGTAAAATAGTCATTATTAAAAATGTTACATATATACTTTGTTCAAGTTTGACCTTGACTCTTGTTTTAATTTATCTTTATCGTCGACAGATCGTGCCGATGGCTTTGCCTTGTGGATATCAAACGATACAGGTATACCGTCCGGTATCAAATGCTACGAGGATGTGGACGCCGGCGTGCCAAACGTAATTCAAAACATTACCTCGTGTAACAGAACCGGTCAGAGAGTGATGATAATCATCACAAGGACACCACCACGAACAGAGTATATGGACGTGTGTGAGGTGGATATTTACGGTAAATATATACTTTATAGCGTTACGTAATGCCAGAGATGATTGTATTACAGAAACTGAAATAATGTAAATTTCATATTATCATGAACTGATGTTGCTCAAATTCATCTTGCATAGAAAGCGTTCAGTTAAAAATATGGTACAGTAGTTCATACTGGTATTAATATTTCAAGATTATAATTTCATTTTGTGGGCAAGTAGTGCAAATGAAAATACGTATTAACGACTGTGTTATATCAAAGTACATACATTCCTATCAGTTTATACATTGTATGTAAAGGTTAATTTGTAAAATAAATGTTCCTGTATTGTCTTCTGTGTTTTCTCACAACATTTGTGATTACTATCAATACAGATTTTAGTAATAACATTTCCAGGTTGTTTTACACATAAATATGGTGACCAGTGTCAATTCAATTGTACCAACTGTAAACACGGCTGTGACCCTGACAATGGAGTTTGTGATTCAACACACTGTAATGCTGGCTGGACTGGACCACGGTTTTGTAACCAAAGTATGTAGCATTAGGGACACATGTCTTTATTAGCATAGTGTTAACCCCGACACAGCAGACTTTAATTCTAATATGTTTAAGATGGTTTGTATTGACCACGATCTAACAATTAAAAACGTATAGGTGAAGGACAAGGAAGAAAAATAACCCCGACGCCAGAGATTTTGATTCAGTTGATATGATATAGAGCGGGCTTGTATGTACCACGACCAGACAACATCATGTAACAATTATATACTTAATAATACAAGACAAGGAAGAGCCATAATTACAAAGCTACTTCAGAATATATATAAGTGTTCTGTAAGAGGGACATGTGGTGAGCGATTCAACACAATCAAGGCTTTCTTAAAAATTCAGTTTCTCGATTTTTTTCGCCCGCATGTACTCCGCAGATTGGAATTTAAAGTAACCTCATACAGTACCCTTAAGGGCGCCTGGTTTCTTACCTTGAACTGTAACATTTGGACAGTTTTTTCTCTCTCTCCATTTATATATTTTTTTTATTCATTCCATACGTGATCGTTAATAGACAGAAAAAGGGAAAGCGTCGAAATTCATTGATTCCTTAGAAAAATCGGAACAATCGGAATAATTCTGACAATCAGGACTATGCAACACTAGATAGTAGTTTTTAATCGTCATTCTCATATTTATTAGAATTATTACACAACATTTATGTTGTATTTAATGAGACGGAACAGAAAACTTTAGCATGCACACATAGCACACCAACATATGTTATTTACATCTGTTAAACACATCTCTCTAAAGGGTTCAGTGCAGTAACATTAATTATGTATGCACTCTATTTCAGCTTGTTCATCACTTACATTTGGAGAGAACTGTGTTCAGGAATGTCATTGTAAGACGCCCGGATGTAACGGAGAGACCGGACAATGTAACACACCAGGATGCCAGGCTGGTTACCATGGAACCAGTTGCAGTCAAGGTTAGACACGGCTTTTGATATCATTGTTACGTGTAATTTGTCAGTTTGTTTGTAAACTGTATTTCTGTGAGCATTCATTTGTTTTGCTAATTCAGATGAAGACCATTCCCATATATATTTTGCAATCAAGAATACATTTTAGGTAAATGTTGGTTCTGTAAAACAGTGGAGATTGATATATTTCATTACTTATAGGTTGTTCGAACACAACGTTTGGAGAAAACTGCTCATCCATGTGTCACTGTGAAACTCCTCGTTGTGACTCAGGTACAGGTAGAGTCATGTGACACACGTAAGTTTAAAATGTCATTTAGCATTTCTATGTAGCTAAAATATTTTTAGAGTTTTGGACATACAAATGTCCTGTAGCTATACCATTTGTTGAACGAGTAATTTTAGCAAAAACCAACATAATAATGATACAGGTATCATTAGACTGGTGGGAAAACAAGCTAGAAGTTTGATATATAATAGCCATTTAAATATGAAGTTATTTCATGTTGTACTTAAATATGAATATACTATCTGTAGCTCACCATGCATAGGTAGCTATGTAAAGTAGCGCACAGTGTCCATGGGTGATATATTTGTACAATGACTTTACCCTGTAATATAACATGTATCAAAACTTAAAAAAACAATGAACACTAACATTAGCATATACATGATGAAGTGGACTATGTTGGCTTCAGAATTATTTCAAGATTTTTTTTCCATTTGGTTTGAGACTACAGTTTTGGCTATTTTACAAATCGGTGTCTACACAACAAAAGCTAGCTTTACATGTAGATCGCTTTTGTAGTCAGCACACGTGTAAGTGTTGTGAAAAATCTGCCTGAATAACCTATGATATTTAATTTTAGACAGTTTTTAAGAAAAAATACTATCTGCGGGGCTCACATTTTGGGCTAAAAACACGTTTTCTTTTGCATTTTTTGGGTGTTCTTTGATGTGATAACCATTGTTTTCAAAGAAACCAAATTTGGGGAT